ATCACAATAAAGTTAGTATCTATTACAATAATTTAATTGGTTGATTGTATCCTAATTCTTAGATTTCATTGACTCCCTAAAAGTTGATATATTTTGAAATTTTTAAATAAGAAAATGAATCAAGAGAACTTTTTTTATATCAGTTTTTAATACAATTATACATGTTATTTTAATGATTAACTCTTTTTATTCATTTATAACTCGTAATTTTAAGTGCATCAACTCATTTAATTATTGTTGGCCCAGATGGCAACCCAAGAGGGGGGGTGAATTGGGTTTCAAAAACTTTATGTAACTTTCAAAAACAAAACAATGAACAAGCACAAGCAATTGCAAACACTAATTTAAAGTGCAGAAATTAAAAGAGTAGAGTAAGAAATATCAAACGCTTCGATTTATCTTGGTTCGTCACCTTCTTTGATGCCTACGTCCAGCCCTCGAGTTTCCTACACTCGAAATTTAATCCACTAACACTAGTTTCAATGGATGCTAGTGAAATCAATTACAATAGTTTACTGGTGCTATCACCCTTTTGAATCCCTTGTTACAAATGTCTCAACCTGTCTTATACCAGGATGGATTCCTAGATCTAACAAGGTTTCCCAATCCCTCTCTCACTTGTTACAATGAAAGAGAACAATAAACTTAATAGAATTCTTTAAGGCACAAGGTAAAAACTTAACACTCTTGATTTTTCAACTTCAAGGCCCTGTTCTTCTCCCTTCTCCACTTTTCTAGCTCTGGTTCTTATAGCTTGAGAGTGATAAATCAATGCTTTTTATCGTTGGAGGATATTCTGCATAAATACTTCAAAAACTAGAATTATACGATAGAATACATTTTTCATTTTTGATCCCCCACAACAAAGGAAACATAATCATACAATTAAATGGATTTACTCTCAAAAGAAAACACATTCAAATTGACAATTAATTACTGAAAATAAATCATATATACACAATTAACTTTTAATCCAAATCAATAACATAAAATAAAATATTCCAATTCACATTTGATTTTTTTTAAATCATCAAAATCAAGAATAACAATTATATGTAAAAATTATATAAAAAGTTTATTCCTATATCATTGCCTTTTTAAATAAAAACATCTAACTTGATATAATTATAATATCATATAGAATTATAAGTTTACAATGATACTATGGTAATTTAAATGTATAAATTTATAATATCATGCACAATTTCCTAAATAAGAGCTGTTAGTCAGTGACATATTACATAATAATTTTTTTAGTATATTGGAGAGTTAAATACTTGACAACATAGATATTTAAATCTTTGACATTAAAGTTAGTGAATACTAATTTAGTCAAATTCTTGTTGGTGACACATTATGTTATAATTATAAATTTATAATATTATGTAACATTGTTATTGTATTATTTTCTTTAAAAACTATATAAATTAAATTAAAAGTTTTTTTTTTAAAATTTCATATTATACAATAAAAAACAATTTTTCTTATCTTTTAATCCATCTTATCTATGTGTCATATGATTCAAATTAAGTTCTATTACTTTTACATAAAGAAAATTATTATTAAATTATTTAGATTATTGCAAATTAAATTAAAAGTTTTGGTTTGGTATCATCCTATTTTTTTTTTAATTTCTTTTTTTTTTTGAACAGTTTTGTCATGGGGTGGGCTCGAAACCCGCCCAGGGGAAGGGGATGTGCACTTTTCAGTGATTCTAACCACTGGGCCACACGGGCCAAGTGCTTTTAATTTCTTATTTTGATTCTATTAAATTTAGTGATTAATATTATATTTTATATCAAAAAACTATATATAGCAATTTGTTTGTTTTTATTTTAAATTTAAAATATTATATTTTCATTAAAAAGAAATCACTTACTAAATTACTTGGTCTCTAAGATAGTAATTAATTTTTAAAATTATGAAAAATCTTTAAAAAAAAAATCAGCAATGGTATTAAAGGAAACTTGAAAAATGAGATTTTGAAATAACGAAACATTGTAGTAGCGTGAATTATTTAAATAATTTAATAATAATTTTCTTTATGTAAAAGTAATAGAACTTAATTTGAATCATATGACACATAGGTAAGATGGATTAAAAGATAAGAAAAATTGTTTTTTATTGTATAATATGAAATTTTTTAAAAAAAACTTTTAATTTAATTTATATAGTTTTTAAAGAAAATAATACAATAACAATGTTACATAATATTATAAATTTATAATTATAACATAATGTGTCACCAACAAGAATTTGACTAAATTAGTATTCACTAACTTTAATGTCAAAGATTTAAATATCTATGTTGTCAAGTATTTAACTCTCCAATATACTAAAAAAATTATTATGTAATATGTCACTGACTAACAGCTCTTATTTAGGAAATCGTGCATGATATTATAAATTTATACATTTAAATTACCATAGTATCATTGTAAACTTATAATTCTATATGATATTATAATTATATCAAGTTAGATGTTTTTATTTAAAAAGGCAATGATATAGGAATAAACTTTTTATATAATTTTTACATATAATTGTTATTCTTGATTTTGATGATTTAAAAAAAATCAAATGTGAATTGGAATATTTTATTTTATGTTATTGATTTGGATTAAAAGTTAATTGTGTATATATGATTTATTTTCAGTAATTAATTGTCAATTTGAATGTGTTTTCTTTTGAGAGTAAATC